AAGGCATTTGCTATTTGGACTAATGATTGGGGCGGGGGGGGGGGTGTTCTAGAACTTTCTATTAAATGTAGTTGTCTTTTAAAAAGTGATATAATTAATGTTTTGACCACTTTTCATCTGGCAAAGAAGGGGTGAATCACAGCTCTAATTTTCATCAATACCAAGGAATAAGGATGAGGCAGACCCTTCAGGTTCTGACTTCCTATTCTCTGCCAATTGTGTTAGTTTTCTGTGGCTTTAGTAACAAATTACTGTAAATGTGGTGGCTTAACTTTACAAACAGAAATCTATTATTGCACAGGCTAGAATTTATAATCTGGAGGCTAGATGTGGGGAACTCAGGTGTTGTGAAGGCCATACTCCCTCTGTAGGTTCTAAGGGAATATTTGTTCTTTGCCTCTTCCAGCTTCTGGTGACTGTCAACATTCCTTGACTTGTGGCCATATCACCTCAGTCTCTGTCTCTGTGGTCGCATTGCCTCCTCCCCTTGGGCTATTTCAAATTTCCCCCTTCCTGTCTCTTATAAGGACACTTGTCACTAGAGTTAGGGCCCACTTTGATAATTCAGGATGACCTTGTCATCTCAACATCCTTAATTATATCTGCAGAGACCCCTTTCCGAGTAAGGTACATTCATAGGTTCCAGGAACTAGGATATGGGCATAGCTTTTGGGGGGCCACCATTTAACACACTACACCACTGGAAAAGAGATACATGGACAATACAAAATGGATGGGAGGCAGCAATATAGAACATCCTTGACCTGGCCCTAGTCCATACATGGATGTGCTATATGATTTTGGTGGAATCACCTTGGGCATCCTAGACAGGTCTTTGGGTGATTCTAGATATCTGAGAATCAACTAAATGTACAGAAAATGTGACTTTCTATGCCTTTGGGCATTTATTCTTCCACTTAACAAATATCTATGGAGGGCTTATTATGTGCCAAATGCTGTTCTAGGTGTTTGGGCTACATCAGTGAACCAGTAGCCTTTAGTGGAATTTATGTTCTAGCTTTGCTAGCAATGACTTGAGATGTTCATATAGGTGATTCAGGAATGTGGTGTTTGGCTGATGAATGTTTGTGTGAAAGAAATTATGCTCTTTGCTGTTATCTCCAAGCAGCTAGGGTTTTTAGCATAAAGTTGAAATTATATAATTTGGGGGAATTATATAAATTTTGAATATATACCTTGTATGTAAATAGTAATATTAATTATCAAGTATTAATATAATTAATAATACTAATTATTCAATTATTATTGAATTATGTAAATTTGGAGAGGCTAAAGGACAAAATAGTGACATGTATGGAATGGGGATATAATACAAAGATCATCATCTCCCAACACTTTTGTCAGCATGATTTGTTGAAATCAAGGCAAGCGTGAGCTGAAAAATCCAAACACGTAGATGTTATGCTGTCCCAAGCCCAGCTTCTAGTGTGTCATCTGCCTTGGCACCTGGAGCTGGGTTTGTGGGGAAGAGAGTTGTTCTGGGGCAAAGGTAGGTAGTTTTAGCAGTATTCTGATATACACGAGCAAGGTCAGCTCTTGGAGCCAGCGGCACTTGGTGGTGGTGACAGTTGCAGGCTATTTTGGGAATGGAGGAGGCTTTGTTTTGTAAGGCTTTCTCTGCACTCCCAGATTTAACTCTGGCACTGATCAACCATCAGCCACTTTTGTCTTTGATATAGAGAGAGAGCAATGTTAGGTACAGTATAGAGATCATAGTGCTCTTTTATCATTTTATTGGTGAAATCAAGTCTTTTTCTTTGGAGATAGCTTGTCATTGCCAAGGAAATGTGACATGCCGATTTTATGAAACTTTAAATTCTTATCTGGTAATTTTTCTAATATTTCTCTGGACCAATAATTAAATAATATCTCCTTTTGTTAAAGAGCTTAGAAGAACTTGTTATTTTAGTAATATTCTGTGTGTCCTCGGGATTGAAAAGCAGAAGGAAATGAACATAAGCCATAGCAGAAGGAATTGGGCTAAATGCAAAGAAGAATATTCCCAGTGATGTCATGAGTAACATCAGAAACTTTTTTAGTATCCTTTGCCTGTTCAAGGAAAGGAAAAGACTCATCTGTCTGGAAGGTTCATTGCAGCTCTGCCTAGAGACATCGTGTTGGAGCCCACGGCCCTGGACCAGGTTTTACAGATGGGTGAATCTGCTCATCTACCGGGCTTCAGTCGTGAATGAGTCAGCAGCACAGCTGCAGATGGAGTGGGCAGAAGGGCATCTAAATTTAGTCGTTATCCACTCGAGAAGGTTTTCAGTGATTATTTGTCTCTCCTTCATGGCTTTAGTCATATTCCTTCTTCTGGAGACCGAAACAAAAAAGAACAGAGAATGGTCACTCCAAGATATTTCATGAGAGCGAGTGCCCTACAACTCTGTTGAATGTCTCTGAAGATGATTCTCTTTCAGCTTAACCATTGATACATACTATTTTATTCACATTGTTCCTGAATTTGGGAACCTGCAGGATCCTTTACCCTAGAAAGGGAATTTTTTGAAGTCAGGCTTGATAAGCAAGCTCTAAAATCCTGATAGTTCAAAGACATTTTTAACCAAACTGCCTTCCTCCTAGAAGATACTGGAGGTGGGGGAGGGCAGTGATGGGTGAGGAGTTAGGACAGTTTGTGCTTTTTCTACAAGAAGTTGCTATTTGTTAAACTGGTGGCTTAAAAACAACAACAGTGCCACAAAAGCCCATGAGGTAGGTGGTATTCTCATGCTGTAGATGAGTACACTGATACTCAGGTTACATACCTCACTCAAGGTTATCCGCACTGGCAGAGCTGGTATGCAATCCCAGGGCTGTCTGGCTTCAAAGCTGATGTTTTTAACAATATACTCTCCTTCACTTTGTGGAGGATATGGGGGATAATTTCACTCTTGACCTACTTTATTTTATTTGAGAGGATTCTTTGGAGATTGATGATCTGCCAAATTACATTGCAGATCAGGCCAGCTTTTTGTTACTGTCTTCGCAAACATCGTCACAATGTCATTCTTCTAAAAATACTCTTTCAAGAATTTCAGATTTATAGATGAAAATATCACAGAACTGAAAAATAAAACTGAAGGGGTGATAGAGTGAGGGAGATTAAGAAAAGGAAGGGAGAGAAATAAGAGGAAAGGAAAGAGAAGTTTCTCCTGTTTCGTACCTGGACTCACTGGGCTTATTTTAGGCCCCCTGGGATTTGGTTGCTGTCATCATCAAAGAGCAAAGAATGATCTTGAAAACATTGGCTTCCAAAAGTCTGCCTGGTGGTGGTGTGGCCATCGGAGCTAAGTTTTTAGACTGTTGAGCTAAAGAAATTTTGCAACCAGGCAGGAAGCAGTTGACCCAGCTGTTTTAACGCAGGTTACGATGGCACATTTGACCTTCGTGATACAGGCCTTTGTTATTACATGGGAACGACACTTTCTTCTCCTTGGACTTCAGTACCTTTCTTAAAAGTACCCGTTTCCATCCTTTCACTTAAAAGTCTTTGTTAACAGTTTTTCGCAAGGTACTCTACAACGAGTTGGCCAAAGCTTACTCTCTGGGGTTTGCAGACTGGCAGACATGCAATATATGAGAAGAATTTAGTGATAATAATAATGAAGTATTCTACATGGTAAAGAAGTAAAAAGTAAATTAGGAATCCTTGTAGAAGTTGATAAACCTAAGAGAACACACAGAAGAAATGTAACTTTTAGAGCTACTTATTGAAAAAGAGACCATTATGAATTGTGGCTATAAAAGTCATCTGGCTTCCAGAGGTCAGGTTAAAGGAATATATTCCATTGCATCAGATCAAATCTAGGCTGATATGTTAGCTAATCTCAGTAACTGTAAAAAGAGTATCAAATGGGAAAAATGAACAAAGGTGCTTTTTGTAACTAGGGTTACCCAGTTAAATTTTCATCCAGAGTGCATCAACCTTTGTTCATCCATGCCCCTGCTTCCAGGCAGTATTGACATGAGGTTTATCTCTGGAGGGAGTTCCCATAAGTTCTCTTGGTAAGATGTATACTACTTAAGTCCCTTATATATATTTAGAAAAGGGAGGAGTATTTTAATAGCCTGTACAGACAATTGTGGATACTCTTCTTGGATATTATATACTCAAACTCCCAACAAGTAGTAGTTTCTTAAATATTAGTTGCATTGCAGAATCTGAAACCGTGTGAATGGATTTTTCTTACTTTGTGACATTAAAAATAGGAGTTTCATTTGTTTCTAGGTTCTGAACTATTCCAACTGTTTTGGAATGATAAAAGCCCTGATAATGATTACCTTTATCAATGTGGGCATTGATCCTTTTTATTCTGTACATTTATTAAGACAGCCTTTTGGTCTGCAGATCTCATTGCTATTTGTGGCTGTTTCTCCTAATTGTTGCTGTGTGATGGGCAGCTAAGGATCCCTATAACTATCCATAACTACAAACATACTTTGCCATATTGGTTGGAGCCATTCAGAAAATACATGAAAAGAAAATACGTTTCTTCAGTTTGAAGTGATCACCTCATCCTTTCTCACCAAAGCGGGGATTGTTTGGCAACCCTAGAATCTTAAACTATAGCTTCCCACTGAGGAAATTGCATTTGATTCTGTACGACTATTTTGTTTTAAAAGTCATAAGCCAATTAGTAGTTTCTAACGTGTCCTCTTTTTTATAGTATGATGATGAAACAGCTCAGCCATTTGAAGTACTTTAGAAATCACTTTCACAGTTAATCCTGATAGTACTGTAAATAAGATTAGGTGTCATTATACCTGTTTCACAGCTGGAATATTGAAGACAATTCAGGGGTTTGCATAAGATTACAAAGCTTACAAGTCACCCTCTGGACGCTGGTATCAGCAATTGCAAGAAATAGAAATTAATATATCATTACAACTAAAGTATTGTCAGTGCCCAGAGCAGTGTCTGGCACGTAGTAGAACTCAATAAGTACTTGTCGAGTGAATGAATGGACTTTTCTTTTCAGGCCTGTATTGATGAAAATTTGGACATGGTGAAGTTTCTGGTGGAGAACAGAGCCAATGTAAACCAGCAGGACAACGAGGGCTGGACACCCCTTCATGCAGCAGCTTCCTGTGGCTATCTCAACATAGCAGAGTGAGTGTGTGGGCTTGGACTCTTTGTAGGAATAGCCTTTTCTTCTCTTAAAACTTTGAATTCATAAACAGTTGTAATTCCTATTACAAATTATAAAAGCAGGAAGATGAATCATTTTTAAGGAATAATTGATACGATTTTTTATATATAGCTGCTAAATCCAGTTTTTCAGTTGAAATTTTTTGTTTGCTTCTATTTTCAGGAAACTGATACATTTTGGCATACTTAGAGGTGGCTTCTGTCTGTTGCACTATCTGGGTCACTTTTTGAGCAACTATAACATATGTGGGCAGGCCTAGAAATTTTTTCTGGACTTCCTTGTAAACTTGTTTTATTGTTTAAGAAAAACATCAGTGGGGTGCCTAGGTGGCTCAGTTGGTTAAGCATCCGATTCTTGATTTTGGTTCAGGTCATGAGCTCACGGTTTGTGAGTCTGAGCCCCGCATCAAGCTCTGTGTGGACAGTGCAAAGCCTCCGTGGGATTCTCTGTCTGCTGTCTCCTCTCTCTGCCCCTCCCCTGCTCTCTCTCTATCTCAAAAATAAATAAATGAACATCAAAAAAAAGAAAAAAATCAGTGTTCAGTACAAATGAAGGTGGAGAATGCCTGACACACTGATCATAATACCCATATGGTTAATAGCAGAAGAATGAGCCTAAACATGGAACAAAGGAAGGGTAGGGATTGGCATGTGTTTGTTCTCCACATTAGTTGAATGGTATGTTTATTAAGACACACAAGTAGCTCCTGACCTCCATGACAACTAGTTGCCCTTGCCTTGGGCAAAAGAATCCTGACCACATGGTATCTAGGATGTAAGAGGTACTAAATAAGTGTTAAATGAAGGAATGAAATTTATTTTTATTTTATTTGTTTGTTTATTTATTTTAAAGTAGTTTCTATGCCCAACATGGTCTAAGTCACGACCCCGAGATCAAGAGTTGCATGCTCCACTGACTGAGCCAGCCAGCCACCCAAGGTTATTTTTATTTTTATTTTTTTTAACTTTTTTAATGTTTATTTATTTTTGAGAGAGAAAGAGACAGAGTGTGAGCCAGGGAGGGGGAGAGAGGAAGATACAGAATCTGAAGCAGGCTTGAGGCTCTGAGCAGTCAGCACAGAGCCTGACACACGGCTCGAACCCATGGACTGTAGATCATGACCAGAGCCGAAGTTGGATGCCTAACCGACTGAGCCACCCAGGTGTCCCAGTTATTTTTAAATAGGAAAGAGACTTTGGCAGTTGAAACATCTTTAAAATGAGGCAACTGAGTGTTTTCTAGAAATGAGAGTAAATTTAGGTTGGTAAGGTAAATTCACTAAAATGATATTCTGTGATCCTTTGAAAATCAGATGCTTGTTTTAAGACCCTTTTCCATATAATTAGAGCTCTATTATATTTCTCTTATTCAACAAACAGCAGGGAGAATTATGTTGGCAGCTATGTAGAGGCTTGGGAATGGCTTCCCGCAGAATCTGATTTACCCAGGTTTCCTGGGGGAGAGCCTGTGTCTCTGTTTTGCTTTCGAGCCAGGATGCTCAGTGGGAGAAGTTAAACAAAGGGAGAGTCAGAGCCAGAGAAACACTAGGCAGCAGCACTGGTGTTTGACTGGGCTGCTTGTTCTAAAAAGTGGACAACGGGATCGGCCCCAAAGCCAACAGAAGCAAACAATGCAGTTTTCTTCAGTCTCGGTTCTTTACCCTGTTCTCAGTCACCTCTTCATCCCTTAGACTGTCCTCTTCTTAGAGTCTCCTAGAAAAGGCTCTGATTCTCAGCCTTACCCACTAATGCCAACAATCTGATGTCTAAGAGTTAAGGTGGCTTCCTCCTAGATTTCAATTTTTACTTAAAAAATTTGTCTAAGAAATAGTTATAGAACATGTTAGCACCTCATTTTTTATATTTCATTATTTGTTCAGGTGGCTTGTTTGTGATTTCTGAATTGCCAAATCTCATTACATCCAAGAATTTGACTTTTTTTCCATTGGCAGGTAACTAGCAGAGCTCATGCTTAGAATTAGGATCACTTATGTTGGCATTATCCATGGAGTCTCTTTCTTTTTTCTCTTTTTGTGAAGCTGAGTACAGAGAATGATTGTAAATGCTTTTTTACAGTGGTTTCTTTAATTCATCTTTCTGGATGAACACGGTTCCTTTGGAAATAAGTTCAAAATTTAACCATCTCCTGCCCAAATAAATATTACCTTGAGTGAAAGGAATCAGTGAGAGTTACTATTTCCTCATACAAATTATTACTCATTAGTCAAATGAAAGTCTGACCAGGAGAGAGATGATCTAGACTAGAATTTGTTGCATGGGTGAGGTGGTGGTAGGGATGGCTTTCTTTAATTTATCTTTCATTGTGCATATCATTATGAGAAAGTTTGATCTTGAAATTGTTTATTTATTTGCATTATGTAGCATTATTTTCTGTACAATGGAAAAAAAACCTCATTGCTTATATTACTCATTTTGGTTACTTTACCTTTGGGCCTGTGAACAATGTTTTAGATAAGATTAGCCCTTGGTCATTTTGTCTTTTTTTGATATCTTAAATTTTGCATTCTTATCCTCAGAATCATCAGAATTCCAAATTTCAAGGGAGTAGAGACAAATAAAAGGCAGATTAGCTTTCTAGGAAGACTCCAACTGCATTCGATTTCATGTTCCATTATCTTTTTGTCTCATATTTGAACTCGGTATGATATGTTTTTAAAAACAGGTTTTGGGGCGCCTGGGTGACGCAGTCGGTTGAGCGTCCGACTTCAGCCAGGTCACGATCTCGCGGTCCGTGAGTTCGAGCCCCGCGTCAGGGCTCTGGGCTGATGGCTCAGAGCCTGGAGCCTGTTTCCGATTCTGTGTCTCCCTCTCTCTCTGCCCCTCCCCCGTTCATACTCTGTCTCTCTCTGTCCCAAAAATAAATAAACATTGAAAAAAAAAAAAACCAGGTTTAGAGGCTATTATTTTTCTCATTTTAATTTGAGTTCAGGCTTACTGCTAGTTAGCAGGATGTTTTATATTTTTATTACCAGTAAGTGTTTAATTTAGAAGCAGCAGATTGACCCAAAGGTACAGCATTTAGTTTGGCTTTATAGTTTATTGGGATGTTAATTTATTCTGAGTTTTAAAACACATTAAATTTTCTTTCTTCCTCCTTTAGATATTAGTATTTTTACTAATATATTAGTGATGAGTAAGGAAGAATAGGGAGGCTTTATTTTCTAAAGGGCATATTTATTTTGCTAGTTGGTATTTCTGAGTCTCTGGATAACTATAAAGATTCTCAGGGGTAAAGTAAATATTACTCTATAGATTGATATTTATTCTTATACAGGTAAAAGTGTGAAACTAAGCAGGTTTTTACTTTTTTTCCCCTAAAAATGGTCTAGGAAGGAAGCTTTGCTTAACAGTAATCCCTGAGTCATAGTGAGCCAGACTGCTTTCTAGAAATGAGTTTTCTTGATTATTGGCATAAGAACATGTCCGAAAAGGGAAAAACAGAGAGGCCTGTATAACCAAGTGACACTGTGACTAATCCAATAAGAGATGGAATAGATGTCAGAACACAGTAGTTAAGATGTTTCATTTATTTCAGGTAATATTTATGGAGTGCCAAGAGAAGAGAGATGATGTCACGATGTTCTGGCAATGATAACAGTGAGGAAGACACAGTTCTTGCCCTCAGGTAGCTTTCAGCCTGATTGGGCAGTGGCATCAATAGTGTCATGGCAGAGGTCTAGAATTAGCGCTGGGGAGGGATCAGGGGAGAGGGTGGAGTTTTAGGAAGGAGACAGAAAGTTCAGTTGTTGAGAACAGGCAAAGGCTACATGAAGGCAAAAGAATTTTAAATGGACCTTGAAAGATATGGAAAGTTTCTAGAAGGGAAAGGATAAAGAGAGGGTGTTTCATTCGGTTAGAGGAAACTACTTAAGCTTTGGAGGAGAGCTGAGTGAGAGTGGGATGTGTTTGGGAACATTAAGTGGTCCAATTTGATGAGAGTATAGGGTATAGTTCACTACAAAAAGCTTTTATTGAGCGCTTACTGTGTAGATTATTTCCATTTTGATTTTTCAGGGTGATTTTTCAGTTGTAGTTGAATGTTCCCCTGGCCTGAAGTTGAGGAACCAGAAGAGAGAAGGTATTGAATATATAGAAATGAAGGAGTAATTGATGGACAGAGGATTGGTACTTGATAGAATAAGAATGCAAAGAGAGGATATTAACCTCTGAATTGAAAAAAGTCTGTCTTCCTCTGAGACTGAGGGAAGGACAGAGACCGCTGAAATCAGATGAATTGTGAATGCGTTTGCACTTTATATATGTGCAATTGATCTATAAATTAAAAACATTTATTGAGGCTCTGTTATACCATGTACTAGGCACTAAGAAAGCAAAAACATGATTTTAATGTAGTCTTCATTAATTCTTTCTCTTTTGCTAACTCTCTGAAGAGAGAATGACCATATATTGATTATCTTTTGAAAATCTCCTATGGTATCTAAAATGTGATGCCTTAAACATAGTAGGGGTCCAATAAATGCTCACCAAATTGTTGAAATCTGATTTAAATAGTTTTTTTTTTTTTCTCCTTTAAATACTTTTGAATATTTGTTAGAGTTCCTAGCATTACTGGGATTCTCACTGGCCCCAAAGCACCTTGATCTAGTGAACAGATGAACTAGACTTGAAGATGGAAGACTGGGGCCGTCACCTCTGTCATTTGCCACCTATGTGATTTTAAGAAAATTACTCAACATAGATGAGCCTCAATTTCTTGTGGAGGTAGTACTACCCATATTGTCTACTTCATAAAATGATCTGACTCATTATGTAATTTTATGTGAAAGCACTTCGGAAATCAAAAAAGATCCATTTAAGCTATTAAAATTATCAGACCTGGGGCGCCTGGGTGGCTCAGTCGGTTAAGCGTCTGACTTTGGCTCAGGTCATGATCTCGCGGTTTGTAAGTTCGAGCCCCGTGTCGGGCTCTGTGCCGACAGCTTGGAGCCTGGACCCTGCTTCAGATTCTGTGTCTCCCTCTCTCTCTGCCCCTCCCCTGCTCATGCTCTGTCTCTCTCTGTCTCAAAAATAAATAAAACATTAAAAAAAATTTTTTTTTAATTATCAGACCTTTCTTCCTCAGAATTGAGTATTGCATTTCAATACAGAATCTATTTAGAATTTAACTATTTATTTCTTTAGTAATTTAGTTTCCTTGTAGAGTGTAGAAGGTTTCATGTAGATGTATGGTTGAAGAGAGAGGTATTGTGGAGACACAATTTACGCAGATTCATGCACATTTTAATTCATTATTTTTCTATTTTCATACCCCAGCACTACTTAATATATTCTAATGTGGCATTGAGAAAGTTTTGTGAGAATTACTTCTTTACATACCTTCTGAGAGCTCTCATTCTCAATATTACAAGTGTAATAAATCCTTTTGGGAATTTGTTTGGACCTCACGGATGGTAGGTGAATTCTTAGAGTTGTATGTCTTCCTTATGGTATTTAGAAAGTCTCTTGCTATCCAATAAGAGTGAGAGGGTGGAAGTTAGGACTATGAGTGTGAAAGAAATCTTGTTTGTTGGCATTGTTCATCAGGAAATAGAGACACTTCCAGTCCTAATTATTGAAGGTTAATGGAGTTAGAAATTAATAATGGAACACATCATCTGGGACCATATTTAAAACCTCAAAACAGTGGCCTCACTCATATGCATGAGTTTAAATTGATATCAGATTGACAGATAATATAGATCCTGGATCTTGTCTACACAGGTATTTCATTAACCATGGAGCCAGTGTGGGTATTGTGAATAGTGAAGGTGAAGTCCCCTCTGACCTTGCAGAAGAGCCTGCCATGAAGGATCTTCTTCTGGAACAAGTGAAGAAGCAAGGTAAAAAAACTAAGCAATTAGAGGGGGCCAGGAGAGACTCTCAAACATTGCCACTTAGAAAATAATCCATTTGCCGTAAAGAGCTTTTCATCATCATATGATAGGAGAGGATTAGATCTGTCTGCACAGTATTAGTCATCAATTACCAGTGTTGTGTGTCCTCTTAAGAATTCACATAAGAATGGTTCAAATGCCAAAAAGATGAGCAGTCATTCCTTGTTTGTGACATATCTGAGGATGTATACCCATTGTATAGTTGGGAGTGACCTGATTATTTTGATAATACAAATTGGACTGACGAGGAGCATGAACATTTCTGAGTATACATGGTATTGGATTTTGCTAGACATTATGACATCTAAAGAAAGGATGATATATAATATAAATTTGAATATGGGCCAAATTCTGTTTATGACTTAATTTTCAGAAGAATCCATATCAGAGAATAAGCCAGAATTTTTCTGAAGGTCTCTAGGTTCTTTTAAAAAAAAATATTGCAGATAGATAGCAGGGAGGACAGGTTTTAGGAAGTTTACTAGAACCATCAAGAAACTTTGTGGACCTGATTTATAGTGAATTTTAGTCTTTCCATGAAACTGCCTTACCCACAGTCTGCACTTATGCCAAAAGATTTAGCTCCAGTGGCCTTTCCTGATGTGATCCTTTAGAACAGGCAGGCCAATTCTGGCCACATCCATTTGTTTACATAACACCCAAAGCTGCATTTGCACTACCACAGAAGAGTTGAACAGACTAAATGGCTCACGAAGCTGAAAATATTTGATATCTGGCTTTTTATGGAAAATATGCCAATGCCTACCTTAAAATAATGATGTTCTAGGGCAGTAAATACTTGTTTTTACTGCCTTCCTGTGTATAATTTTTGTGCCCTTTGAATTAAAGAACTTTACACTTAGTTTACCATTCAGTCCCACTCAGCCTTATCCTAAGATTGGCATCACAGTATACAAAAACTTTTTTTTTAAACAAACTGAGATTTTAAAAATAGCTTTAAGAAACAAACTTTTCTATTTTGATTTCTGACTCTTCAGTTAAGGAATATGCTCTGTTGGAAGAGGTATTCAAATGTATGCTTAACTTTGCAGCATGACAGTTCACTCTTTCCATGGAATTCTGGTATGTTATAAATTAGATACTCCTTTCAATCCAACAAGAAGGTGTAACAGTCATAAATACATATGCACCCAACTTTGGAACACCTAAATGTATTAAATAAATACTGACAGATCTGAAGGAAAAATAGATTTATTGTATTATTGTCTATTTTGACAATAGGGGGACTTTAGTACCCCACTTTCAACAATGGGTAGGTCATCCAAACAGAAAACCAACAAGGAAACATTGGACTTGAGCTATACTTTAGACCCTATGGACCTAATAGACATATACAGAACATTCCATCAATAACAGGAGGAAAACTGGAAAATTCACAAATATGTGGGGATTAAACAACATGTTACTGAACAACCAGTGGGTCAAAGAAGAAATCAAAGGAAAAATTTAAAAACATCTTGAAGGGCGCCTAGGTGACTCAGTCAGTTGGGCTCCAACTTTGGCTCAGGTCACGATCTCATGGTTCATGAGTTCAAGCCCCATGTCAGGCTCTGTGCTAAGAGCACAGAGCCTAGAGCTTGCTTCAGATTCTGTGCCTCCCTCTCTCTCTGCCCCTCCCCTGTTCGTGCTCTGTCTCTCTCTCAAAAAAATAAAAATTTAAAAAAATTTAAAAATATCTTAAAACAAACAGAAATGGAAATACAACATGTTGAAACATGTTTTACATGCAACAAAAGCTTTTCTTAGAGGGAAGTTTATAGTGACAAATGCTTACATTAGGAGAAAAGAAATAATCTTAAATATACAACTCACCTTTACATCTCAGAGAACTAGAAAAAGGAAGAAACTAAGCCCAAAGTTAGCAGAAGGAAGGAAATAACAAAGAGCAGAGCAGAAATAAGTGAAACAGGGACCAGAAAAAAACAATAGAAAAGATCAATGAAACTAAGAGCTGTTTTTTTGAAGAGATAAATAAAATTGACAAACCTTTAGCTAGACTAAGAAAAAAAAGACTGAAATAAATAAAATCAAATGAAAGAAGAGGTATTACAACTGATACCACAGAAGTGCAAAACATCCTAAGAGGCTACTGTGAACAACTATGCCAACAAATTGGATAACCTAGAAGAAATGAATAAATTCCTAGAAATATACAACCTACCAAGACTGAATCAGGAAAAAATAGAAAATCTGAACACATCGATAACAAGGAGATTGAGTCAATAATCAAACAACAAGAAAATCTCAAAACCATGTGGTTTCTGTGGTGAATTCTACCAAACATTTAAAGAAGAATACATACCAAGCTTTCTCAAACTCTTTCAAAAAAATTGAAGAGGAGGGAACATTCTCAAATTCATTTTATGAGGACAGCTTTATCATTATATCAAAGCCAGATAAGGACAGTACAAGAAAGGGAAACTATAGGCCAATATCCCTGATGAATATAGATGCAGAAATTCTCAACAGAATATTAGTAAACCAAATTCAACAGCACAAGAAAGCTAATATACTATTAGCAAGTGGGATTTACCTCTGAAATTCAAGGATGGTTCAATATACATAAATATAATATACAACAATAGAATGAAAGGTAAAAGTTGCATGATCATTTCAACAGATGCAGAAAAAGCATTTGACAAAAGACAACAACGTTTCATGATAAAAATTTGAACAAACTGGATATAGAAAGAATGTACCTCAACATTATAAAGTCCATATATGGGGGCACCTGGGTGGCTCAGTCGGTTAAATGTCTGACTCTTGATTTTGAGTCAGGTCGCGATCTCGACTCAGGTCACGATCTTGCAGTTTGTGGGATCAAGCCCCACAATGGGCTCTGCGCTGACAGCATGGAACCTGCTTGAGATCCTCTCTCTCCCCCTCTGCTCTTCCCCTGCACATGCACACATGCTCTCTTCTCTCAAAATAAATAAATAAACTTTAAAAAATGGGCAGAGGATCAAAATCCTCGAGGAGAAAGCAGGTCTCTTTGACCTTGGCCGCAGCAACTTCTTAACTCAACACATCTCTGGAGGCAAAGGAAACAAAAACAAAAATGAACTACTCAGACCTCATCAAAATAAAAAGCTTCTGCAGAGCGAAGGGAACAGTCAGCAAAACTAAAAGGCAACTGACAGAATGGAAGAAAGTATTTGCAAACGACATATCAGATAAAGGGTTAGGATCCAAAGTTTATAAAGAACTTATCAAACTCAACACCCAAAAAACAAATAATCCAGTGAAGAAATGGGCAAAAGACATGAATAGATACTTCTCCAAAAAAGACATCCAGATAGCCAACCGACACATGATAAAATGCTCAATATCACTTACCATCAGGGAAATACAAATCAAAACCACAATGAGATACCACCTCACACCTGTCAGAATGGCTAACATTAATAACTCAGGCAACAACAGATGTTGGCGAGGATGCAGAGAAAGAGGATCTCTTTTGAACCGCTGGTGGGAATGCAAACTGGGTGCAGCTACTCTGGAAAACAATTAAAATTAAAAATAGAAAAATTAAAAATTAAAAATAGAACTACCTTACGACCCAGCAATTGCACTACTAGGTATTTATCCAAGTGATACAGGTGTGCTGTTTTGAAGGGACACATGCACCCCAATGTTTATAGCAGCACTATCAACAATAGCCAAAGTATGGAAAGAGCCCAAATGTCTATTGATGGATGAATGGATAAAGAAAATGAGGTGTATGTGTACACACACACACACACACACACA